GATTCTGGACTGAAATGCATCTTCTTTCTCACTATAAAAGGTGACAATAAAACCAAAATAAAATAAAATAACACTCGAAATAGCACTTATTTTACCTGTAAAGTAATATGCTTGGATACAATTACAAGCAAATGCAAAGGTTTAAATTTCAATTTGGAATTTGTACATATGTAAAATAAACATTGTTAGACATTATCATTCACCTCAGTTGACCTTGTAAAGAGCAGTTAGTGACCTGCCTGAAGAATAGAGAATGTAAAAATATATATATATAATTCAGATCCAGGAACTGTCCTTCAACAAAAAAAATTGCGCAGGAAGCTGGCCAGCAAAAAAATATATAACTGTGAGTTGCAGATTACCTCATATGAAATGGGAAGAAGCGGGAGGGAAATGTATATGTTTTGCCTTGGAATGGTCCAAGAACCCCACTGACAATGGCCAAGACAATCCTCTTCTTTTGCTAGCAGGAAAATATCACATTGTCACTGAAAATGCGACAGGCGAGGAGCAGAGCACGCAGAACAAGAAAACCTAACTGCAGAGCATAATGTAACAAGGCAATAAAATACAGAATACCATCGGCAAATGGAAAAAAAAATGTTATGTGCGATAAGACTGAAACATTGGACTTTTAAGTTAGAAATAACATTTTAAACACAGGATGTGAACCGAAACAATACTTATAATGGGTATAAGGCGACAAGCCTGTCAATAGCATTAATTAGCTTTTTGTAACATACCCCACAAAAGATTACATCAAAAGCCTCATATATGAAATAATAATGCTCACCTAGCAGGAAAATATCACATTGTCACTGAAAATGATGCGACAGGCGAGGAGCAGAGCACGCAGATAGAGCGCAAACTATAAAAAGAAACTGGAAATTTTAAAGACGGAATCGCAGGATTTGCTGAACACCCTTTGTGAAATAGCTTTGAATGTACTGTGCGGTAACATCCCGTTACCAAAGCACAGATTGTAAGACTAAAAAAGGAAAAAAGCAATATTAAACTGCTGGCAAATAAACGGGCCTCGATAAAAAGAAAGAAGAAGGCTATTAACCAAACCGGTGGGGGCTTCATTCCACCCCTGCTAAGCGTCACCATATCTTTTCTCACCTGTCTTTTTCAGCGGGGATAAGTAAATGGAGCACGCTAGGAAAATGTATCTGGTTCATAAGGCGCAGCTTGAAAACCTGCATAATGCCACAACTCCTAAAGATACGATAAGGCAGACTGCCGAAAGCAAACTGGACATTGCAATACGCAACATTGTATCAAGAACAGATGTCGCAGACCACGAAAAGGAAATGTACTCGTTTCTGTCAACAGCGACAGCCTCGTTTTTCAAATGTCTCCCCGTGGCCAGAACCAAGCTGCAATACTCAGGAGCCACGTTTCCTCGTGTAAAATCCAGTTGAAAGGGCTTTGCGGGATACTGCTGGCCATCGACATAAAGCGCTACAAATTCAGCATCATAATGTTGAAAATTGAAAGGGTTTCGATCGTACGCCCTCATAAAACCCATGTTATCTACAAGTCCGATGACAATAGTTTTAGGCAGCTGCCCTAGAAATACATTTTCTTGCATGCAGACCTGGTTGCCCGCAGCCACGCTGAATGTTTTCATGCAGACTCTCTCGATCGGGTATTTCGCATTGGCTGTCAGCAAGGCGCTGGCGTGCCCCAGTTTGACAGCCGTCGACACAGAAACCTTTTTAACAAACAGGGAAGCCGATACGATTTTGAGCGAGTACTGTTCAGCATCTCCACTCATGAGGCAAAACTCATCTTTGTTTCGAACCATTTTAATTTTGGCATCGACCCCATTTAGCATTAACCTCTCTTGAAAAAATATGTCAGAGTGTATGGGGCCAATCAAATCGAAAGCACCGCTTCTTGCTGAAAATGCTGCTCTTTTCTCTAAGCCCTTGTTATCGCCGTCAGGGGCAGTCTCGTCCATAGCACCAGAACTGTCTTTATAAAACAGCCCGCAGGTAAACTGTCTGGATAGCGTTCCGACGCTGTAATTCAGCAGGCACTCTATCATGGCTCTCTAAGGGTATGTGTTGCTAGACTGGCTTACTAGCCTGTCGCCCAATGATACGTCCACTTGTGAGAAAATTCACGCGATCGGGAAATTTATGATCCCCACTTTTGCAGCAGGGTCAATGTTTGTCCCGTTAGCTCTTGTGATTCGACACCGGAGATGCAGTAGCATGTTGTTGAGGTCAAGGTAATCGGCCCCATTACCAGCGATAAAAGACTCCAGGGGTCCATTATCTGTTAAGGCTGAGAGTAGCGGCACTTCCACATATAATCAATGCTTGCTTGTGTGTATGGTAATGCAAAAATATCCAATTCTGATTTCATACACTCCTCTGTCATGTTGTGTATGAGGGCCATAGTTTTAGAAAATGTATCTTCTTCTCTGTACTTTTTTGGCCACCTTCTTCTCTCACTTCTTTTTGACTACTGCACCTCTCTTGGGTGTTACTCTGCATTTTTTAGCGATGGGAATTCGATCCCCAGGGGGTCTTTGACACTTACCATGTGCCAACACCATGAACCCCGAGCCCTCCTGCGGTCGTGCAGTTAATTGTCCTGTTATCTCTGCGGTTAGCACATCTTCCATTTTGCGTGGCCAATTTTAAATGCAGCTTTGCCATATTGAAGTCTTTTTCAGAAATGGTACTGCCATTCTGAGGAGTCCTTGAAAAAGACCCCGCAGACCCCCTCCGTACATGACGGGTGCTACGTTGTATCCGGGGAGTCCGTTACCAGCTTGGTTTCTGTAGTATTCCACATATCTATGTGGATCTGAAAAGCCGTCTGCGCTGTACATTATTGGGGGTAGTACTGCTTAGTCGGTCTGAAATGCAGCTTTATGATTGTTTTCCCGTATCAGAAGGGTATAGCCTTGTTCTGGTCAGACTGTAACTCGATGACTATATTATCAATGTGATTCTTGCAGAGCGACACATAATGACTCCTATCATACGATATTGTGACCATCGAGTTGTGAGTCCCTGCTATATGTATGTAAAGGGACATGTGGCTGTCTCCCACTCTTTGATGCTTGACAATGTCTGAATACACGTAAATCGTGTAAAAACCACCGCATATGTCTGCCAGATGCGGGTCTTCACAATCTTATAAAATACATCAAGCGTGAATCCCAGCATTCGGGCCAGACCTCCTTTAAGCCGATGTTCGGTGGTCCGACCATATACACTTTCTTTTTATCACGCTATAGTCAAGTTTTAGATTTGCCATTCCTAGAGCCTCAATCATTTCATTGATTAGGTTTTCAATATTCCTGTAATAGCCAGCCTTTAGTTTGTATTGCTGGGTAAGTGCAGCCGTTAAAAATACTGCCACATTAAATATAGTGTCTTCTTCTACTAATGTGTTCCATGTGTGCGGGTAATGGATTTCCGCTAATCCTACTTCCCATTTACCATTCAGATTGTAGGATCACACATGCACATATCACAGGGCCTAAATTCCAGGTGGCCTGAGACAAGGCCGAGCCTGGTACGAGAGGCAACAAAGGGGGGTTACACACATAAACACACACACAGAGACAACAAGGGAGG